GTAGTAGTATTAGTAGTAGTAGTAGTAGTAGTAGTAGTAGTAGTAGTAGTAGTAGTAGTAGTAGTAGTAGTAGTAGTAGTAGTAGTAGTAGTAGTAGTAGTAGTAGTAGTAGTAGTAGTAGTAGTAGTAGTATTAGTTGTAGTAGTAGTAGTAGTAGTAGTAGTAGTAGTAGTAGTAGTAATAGTAGTAGTAGTAGTAGTAGTAGTAGTAGTAGTAGTAGTAGTAGTAGTATTCGTAGTAGTATGTATCCTCCTCCTCCTCCTCCTCCTCCTCCTCCCCATCCTCCTCCTTTTCCTCCTCCTCCTCATCCTCCTCTTCCTCCTCCTCCTCCTCATCCACTTCATCTTCCTCCTCCCTCTCATATTCCCCCTGCTCCTCCTCATCCTCCTCTGCCTCCTCCTCCGCCTCCTCCTCATCCTCCTCCTTCCCTCCTGTTCCTCCTCCCCCTCCTTCTCCTCCTCCTCCTCCTCCAGGGAGGAAGCGGGAGGGCGGCTGGGCTGGGCCTCTCAAGACCCCTCAGTTGCTCGCTGGCTCCGGCGAGCGCCCGCCGTCTCCGCTCCTGCTCCCCATCCAGGAGGCCTGGCCCCCAAGGGTGTTCGATCGGGGGCCCCCAAGCGGGGTGATGACCACACCGTGTGGTGAGTCGGGTTGCCGCACGGTTTTGGGACTCGGGTCGTTCTTCGAGGATGTGGGTCCCCAAACCGTGCGCTAACGGACGTGCGGTGAGTTCTTGGGGGATTTCGAGGTCACCGCACGGTCTGTCACCGCACCGTTTCGGGACTCCCAAATCCAGGAGGCGGCAGGAGGAGGGAGGTGGGACGGGGGTTCCAAGGGTGTTCGAGCGGGACGCAGGTCAGGTGCACGTGCAGGTGTACGTGCACGTCCAGAACGTGACGCTTCTGCAAAGCGCAGCATTGGTCTTCTACCCTCTCGATCGTGGTTGCGGATCTGATGTGCCATCCCCTTTCACTGGGATCATGATGCGAATCAGAAGCAAGTTGACATCCGCAGCCTCTTGGCTCGAGCGCGGAGCTGGCGGGTCCGCATGGTTGTCTGGCGGCGCGGCGCGTGCCCTGTCCGTCCGGATGCCGGCGCCGCTCTCTGGCAGCTCGCCGCGGGCGCTGGTCATCAACCTGGCCCACCGGCAAGACAGGCGCCGGTGGATGTCTCGGAGCTGCCTGCCCGCTCTGGCGGAGGCCGGTGCCGACGTCGCGCTGCTGGCCGCCGCTGCCGGTTGCGAGGGCGACGGCGGCCAGGCAGCGGAGGGGGGCGTGCCCGTGGCGGACTGGTGGCGCCTGCCCGGGCCGGCGCTGCAGGAGGTGGAGCGGCGATGGGCCAGCCTGTTCCCAGAGGAGCGGCTCGGCCTCCCTGAAATCCAGCGCTTCTACGGGCGCGCCGTGAGCCGCGGCGAGGTCGGGGTGTTCCTCAGCCACAGGCGCGCGTGGCGGGCGGCACTCGGCGCGCCGTGGTCTCTGGTGCTGGAGGACGATGCCTCGCCGACGCCGTTCCTGCCACCGGCGGGGGGCGGCGACGACGCACGCGAGGCCTTCTTCCGGCTGTGCGCTGGGCGCTGGGCGTCCATCTGGGGCGCGACGCTGCAGGCGGTCGAGGGGCTACATAGCCGTGGAGTGGCCTGGGACATGCTGCTGCTCGGCAGGCACCGCTTCGGAGAGGACTCTCCAGCAGAGTGTGACTTCGATCTGGTGCGGGCAGGCTTCTCCACCTGCCTGCACGCCTACGTCGTGTCCGAGGACGGAGCCCGTCGGCTTCTGCGGCTAACAGATCTTGCGGCCGTCAGCGGCATGGTCGGTGCCAGCGCCGCCCTGGCGGTGGCACTGCCGCTGGACGACTTGTTGCCGGCCGTCTGGGCTGGCGTACACCCGCGCGTTGACGTGGAGGCGCATGCGCGGGCGCGGGCCGCCCACGCGCTGGCGCGCGGAGGGGAGCTCCGCGTGTACGCGTTCCGGGAGGACCTGGCCTGGCAGCTGGAGAGCTTGCCAGCAGCCGACGGCAGTGCGGCGGTGGACGCCCTCTTTGGCGCGCTCTTGGCCTCCGACGTCGACGCCGTGCCCTGGAGCGCTGCGGAGCCACAGGGCCGCGCGGCGGAGGCGGCGCGGCTCCTGGACGCGCTGCTGGACGGGGAGGGCGCGCGCAGCTGCTTCCTGCTTCGCTGCGCACTTCTGCTCGGAGCGCCCGCATGCCGTGAGCTGGGCACGGCGTCGACTCGGCTGCGCGACGCGCTGGCCGAGGAGGCCGGCTGGCGCGCGCTGACGCTGGCTCTGCTGCAGGAGCGCAGCGCGTGCAGCGAGGACGACCCCGCTCTGGGAGCCTTCGCAGGCTGCTGGCGGCGCACGGCGCTCGGGCTGGCCGGCGCCTGCCCCAGGACGGCTTCCCTGGCGGTCTCCGCCGCCTCGCTGCGCGCAATGCCGCCCGTCACCCAGGCCTTCGCAGCTGCACGTGCGGAGCTGGACGAGCTCGCGGCGTGGTCGCGGCACTTCGGTGCGGGGCCCGCCCCCGCCTTGGTGGAGGCGAGGGCGGCCGAGGCCATGCCAGCGGGCGAGTTTCGTCGCTGCTTCGAGGCGAGCCCTGGCGTGCCCCTCAAGCTGACGGGAGCCTCCCGCCTCGCGTCCTCGGTCGGCGAGGCGGCTTGGCATGTCGACGCGATCGCCGCGGCGCTCGGCTCGCAGCTGTGCCGCTGCCACGTCCAGGAGGACGCCCTCGCACTCACAGCGGGCAGGACGCGGCTGTCGGTGCTCAAGCTGCCCTTCGACCAGTACGTCGAGTACATGCGCTCGCACCGCGACGCCGAGCCGCTGTACTTGTTCCAGGAGCTCGACCCGGCAATCCGCGACGCCATCGACCCGGACTTTGCCCCTCCGCGCCTCTTCGCGGAGGACTTCCTGGCCGGCGTGCGGGAGCCCCCCGAGGGCTTCGCCGGCGTGCGCGGCTGGCTGCTCGTCGGCCCGCCGGGGAGCGGCTCCCGGTGGCACTTCGACCCGTGGGGCACCGCGGCCTGGAACGTGCTTTTCCCGAGCATTCTGTTAGGGTGGAGGGTTCAGGGTGAACTCCATATGGGCTTCTGCACCTCGAGAACCAATCCGTCTTGTGATTCGCCTTTTGCAGATTCAGGCCTGGAGAATTCATCGAAACGGCATTTCAGATTTCACCCCTTGTTTTCCACCCGAAGAAAATGCTCGGTTTTCTGCGGCCGAAAGCTCTGGGCCTTCGCGCCCCCCTCCGTGAGCGCCGGCGCCGGTGCCTCCAGCGCCCCGCCGCCAGGCGTGCATACGCAGGCTCGGCAACACGTGAGAGTGATCTTTCGCCGGCTTAGCTGCCTCGATCCGCCCGTTTTGATAAGCACCACGTACCGTGCTCAAAACGTCCGTGTCAATACATTGCGAGTTGGCTCAACGTATTGGCCCACGTTCTGGCGAACGTATCGCGTCGTACCTACGTTAGTAGTCTACGTGTTGAGCTCCGTATCAAGACGCTACGTGTTGCGCATTGCGTATCGGGGCAGCTAAGTGGACCTCGACACCCGAGTTACAGCGGAGGTTTTAGGCAGTCCAGGCAGGTCTATAGTCTATAGGTCTGGAGGTCTATGTCTTTCTTAGCGCTCTGGAAGGTCAGGGTAGGGCCTCCCTTGCGCGCAGTCGACAGGCGCTGGGCTGCGGGCTCGTCAGCGAGCGCCGCCTGTACTACTCCGCGCCGCCGGCTCTGGGCAGCCTCGCCGCGGTCGCCCGGGGAGGCGGCGGCGGCCTCGTGTGGGCCCTCCAGGAGGCGGGGGACCTCATCTTCATCCCCAGCGGGTGGTGGCACGCCACGGTGTGCCTCACCGAGACGGCGGCCTACACGCGCAACTACATCAACGACCACAACTGCCGCGCGGCCGAGGAGGCGCTCTCGCCGCTGCACCCGCACGTCGCGGCCCAGCTCAGGCCAGCCACAACTGGGGGAGCTGTGGTCCTTACCCTCCTGGGGGACTCATCGATGTCGACACCCATCTCGAGAGATCGTCGATGCGATGGGCTCCTCCAGGGGGGTGAGGACCACGGCTCCCCCAGTTGTGGCTGGTCGGCAGCTCCGGCGCTGGGCCTGGCGCAGGCACGCCGACTGCGACAGCGACGCGGACTCCACGCAGGGCAGCGAAGCGGCCGCGGCCGCGGCGCCCCCGGGCGGCGCGCCGCTGTCCGCGGCCGCCGGCGCCGGCGAAGCCGGCGGCGCGGCCGCGGGCGCGCCGCCGGCGAAGCGGCCGCGGACCGCGGGCACCGGCGGCACGCCGCGCCACGTCCGCCCGCTCGCTCCGGGGGGGGGTGGCCACGGCGGAGCGGAGAAGCGCGAGACTCGAGTGCGCCGGAATTCGGGCCTGCCGGCGCTTTTTGACGAGCGTGTCGCGGATTTTGACGGTCCAGTCTTTTTCCTTGGTGTGTTTGCAGCGGGGGCTCGCGTCGAGTCTCAGATTCGGTCTCGTCATTTCCGTATGTTTCAATGATGGCCCCGTCAGGCCAACCCGAGTCCCTCTGACCCGAGTCTTGCGTCTCCCCGAACGGAGCGGGCCTCCTCCCTCCTCCCTTCGACGATGGAGGCTCGATCCATGCCCCTGCTGCTGCCCCCTCGGAGCGCCAGGGGAAGCAGGGCATCAGCAGCGAGGCGTGGCCCTGGGCGCCAGGAACAGATCCAGCTCCCCGCTCCGGCTCCTGGCGGGGGCGGGGCGCGGGCAGGGGCATGGCTCAGAGGCCGATCGCCCATCCCTCTCCCTCCCCCTCCCTCCCTCCCTCCCTTGTCCCCTCTCCCACCTCCCCTCCGGAGGTCGATGGAGGCCTCTGGAGGGTGTTGAGGATGAGAGCGCCCGACAGTCTCGATCCTCGATCCTCGATTCTCTAATCTGGCGCAGGGCACGAACCACTGCACGGGCAACAACTGCTGGGTGCGAGAAGTATGCAGGACTGCATCCACGCGCAACTATTGCACCAAGCCTCAAACTATTGCAAGTACTATTGCACCTGTCCCCGCAAGCCCATTGCACGAGGCCCTGTACTCCTGCTTGAAGATCCTCGATCCTTTTCCATAATTCGAGAATGTGAATGCTACTCTCCTCTCTCCCCTGATGGCGTCCGGGAAATGTCCGGCCCCCCTCCGCGTACTGGGAGTTGGGTTTTCGCTTGGGTTTTTGTTCAAAATGCTACTCTCGCTGAAGCGCTGGCTTCATTTTCGGGCTACCGCTCGTTACGAATCGTGCTCCTGCTGCAGCGCTGGCCTCATTTCTTCGCTTCCGCTCGTTCCGAATCGTGCTCCCGCTGCAGCGCTGGCGTCATAATTTCCAGCGCCATGCCACGGCATTGTTTTCGGTCCTTCCAAAAAGGCCCCACAATCTAAAACATACCACCCAGAAGAAACATCGAAAGTGATTCTACATATCCGCTTCCCCGGTGCTGGTTTTGTCGTCCCGATTCTTTTCTGTTGAGGGTCCCGAGGCTTGGCGAGGGCCCCCGGAGGCCGAAAGGGGTCCAAGGCACTCTGCTCCAACTTTATGTGGAGCGGCGGGCCTTTGGGCGTCCCCATGTGGAGGAGGAGGAGGAGGAGGAGGAGGAGGAGGAGGAGGAGGAGGAGGAGGAGGAGGAGGAGGGGAGGAGGAGGAGGAGAGGGCGAGTAGGATGGGAGGAGGGAGCGAGCGAGGAGGGGAAGGAGGAAGAGGAGTAGGAGGAGTGAGGGGGGGAGGAGGAGGGGGGGGGAGGAGGGGGGATCGAGGGGGAGAACGAGGAGGAGGGGGAGGGGGGGAAGGAGGACGAGGAGGGGGAGGCGGCGGAGGAGGACGAGCAGGGCCCCCCGCGCCCTCCCTCCGCGCGCGGCCCGGGGCGCGGCCGCCCTTCGCGCGCCCGCGAGAGCGAGATGGGGGCGCGAGCAGCAGGCGGGGGGGTGCTGTGCTGGGCCGGCGGGAGGTCCCGAAGAGCGTGGCACCGCTGCGGCTGGGGGCGCCACGGCCGGGGGGGCCACGCCTGGGGGTGCCACGGCTGGGGGGGCGCCGGCTCGGGCGATCGCAGACATGGCTTGAAGGGGGCGTGGATGAGCGACGGTCTCGTTTCCACGGGAAGCCGCGGATTGCACGGGCCGCAGTTTGGGGAGGGCACCTCCCCCGATCCATGGATTCGGCGACCGCGCGCCAAATCCATGGATCGCTAATCCATGTTTGCGCGCCCCCGACTGACGGGGGGCTCGAGCTGGGGATTTGGGACAGGGGTAGAGGTAGAGATATGGGGTATGGGGCAGGGAACCAGGGCGAGGGATACAGGGCCGGGGATGTAGGGATTGGGATGGGGGACGCGGATGGGGACGGGATGGGGAGAGGGATATATAGGATAGGGATACGGATGAATGAACCCAGCGCGACCGTCGTGGATTCGGGCCCAGAGAGCGGTGTTCGAGGGGAGGCGGAGGAGGCACGGAGGGAGGGACGGGCGGAGAGACGGGAGGGATGGGCGGAGGGAGGCTGGGAGGGAGGCGAGGAGGGGAGGCGGGGAGAGGGAGGGAGCGCAGCGGGAGTGGGAGGGAGGCGGGGAGGGGAGGGGGGAGGATGGATTTAATACGTGAAAGAGAGAGAGAGAGAGAGAGAGAGAGAGGCAGGGGTGTGGGCAGGGAGGAGAGAAGGCAGAACGTCATCACGGCCGTGCAGCTTTGAGCCGCACGAGGGTTGATAACAGTGTATATATACAATACATATGTATATGTATATGTATATATATACATGACGGGAGTTTCATTATCATCCTGCTTCTCCCCTTCTCTTGCTCATATGTCTCTGGTTCCTTCTTCTTCTTCTTCTGCTCCTGGTCCTGCGCCTCTTGTTGCTAACCCTCCTGCTCTTACTGCTGCTGCTGCTGCTGCTGCTGCTGTCGCCGCTGCTGATACCCCTCGTCCTCCTCCTCCTCCTCCTCCTCCTCCTCCTCCTCCTCCTCATCATCATCATCATCATCATCATCATCATCATCATCATCATCATCATCATCATTATCATCATCATCCTCATCCTCTTTCTTCTCGTCCTCACGCATCGCGCGATCCTCGCCGCACAATGGCAAGGGGATCGCGAGAAAGTTGCGCCAGAGTCAGAGCTAGACTTGCTGCATGTGGCTCTGGTCTCCGCCCCCCCCGCAGCATCTGGAGATCGCCAGAGGTCCCCCCCGGAGGTCTCAAGAAGTCTCTGGAGGTCTCCAGCGCTCTCCGGGGGCCTCCGGAGGCCTCCCCAGGCCCAAACCGGAGAAACGTAAGACTCGAGTACGCTGGAACTCAGGTTTGCCGACGCTGTGTTGACGAGCGCGTCCTGGATTTTGACGGTGCAGTTTTCTTGCGATGCTAGCAGTGGGAGTTCGCGTCAAGTTTTTGACTGGGTCTCGCGTCCTTTTTCGGGTCGGCCCCGTCGGGCCAGCCCGAGTCCCCCCGGTACCCGAGCCTTGCGTCTCCTTGGGTCCAGAGAGGACCCGCGACGCGCCAGAGTTTGGCATCGCTCGGACGTGTGCATTTTCCTTCGGCGAGGACCATCGAGGAGCATCCTTGATCATTTAGCGAAAAATCCACGCACGAAACTGAAAAAAGCACAGGGAATGGACGTCCGAGCGATGGCGAGAGAAGCCCTCAGACCCTCGAGCCTCGGACCCTCCAAGGTCGAGGCCCCGGTGCTCGGGTCGACCCAGTAGGGGGTCTAGCGACAAGGGGGAGGTGCAATAGATTTGGTGCAATAGGTTTGTGGGGCGTGCAATGCGTTCGGGGCGTGCAGTACGCTGCGGGGCGCGAGTGTACTGCTGTATGTTCGCGCGCAGCATATGACTTGCAATCCAGTGCAGTGCCATTTTCCGGCGCACTGCGTGTGCAATGCAATTGTCCCAACTCTATTGCACCACCCCCTTTCAGCTGGACCCCCCTTTGGGCCACTCAAAGTCTCGTGTCCTTTTCGTGTCGGCCCCTTCGGGTTAGCCCGAGCCCCCCGGTGCCCGAGCCTTGCGTCTCCCTGGGCCCAGAGAGGACCCGCGACGCCCCCTTGCAGCTGGACCCCCTTTTGGGTCACCCGAAAGTGCGCGCGCCAAGGCGATCATTACGGCGTGGCCTTCGCGGCGGTGGGGGAGATCTCGCTGGCCGTCGGCCAGGCCCCTGCTGCCGGCCGCCGGCCCGCCGGCTCGCCGGCCGAGGTCGGAACTTGAGAGAGGGAGGCTCCTCCTCCCCCCTCCCTCCCTCCCTCCCTCCTCCCTCCTCCCTCCTCCCTCCTCCCTCCCTCCTCCCTCCTCGCTCCCTCCCTCCCTCCTCCCTCCTCCCTCCTCACTCCTCCTCCCTCCCTCCTCCTCCTCCTCCTCCTCCTCCTCCTACTCCTCCTCCTCCTCCTCCTCCTCCGCCTCCTCCTCCTCCTCCTCCCTGCCTCCTGCCTCGTCCCTCCTCCCTCTGTCTCCTCCCTCCTCCCTCCCTCCGCCCTCCCCTCCCTCCTCCGTCCCTCCCTCCCTCCTCCCTCCGCCCCCATCTCCTCCCCCCTCCCTCCTCCTCCTCCTCCTCCTCCTCCTCCGCCTCCTCCTCGCTCCTCCCTCCTCCTTCTCCTCTCCTCCTCCTCCTCCTCCTCCTCCTCCTCGTCCTCTCCTCCTCCTCCTCCTCCTTCCGTCTCACCTCCTCCCTCCTCCCTCCGTCCTCCTCCCCTCCTCTCCTCCCTCCTGCCTCCCTCCCTTTTCCCTCCTTCCTCCCTCCCCCTCCTCCATCCTGCCTCCTCCCTCCCTCCCTCCCGCCCTCCTCCTCCCTCCTCCCGTCCCTCCCTCCTTCCTCCGTCCTCCTCCTCTTCCTCCTCCTCCTCCTCCTCCTCCTCCTCCTCCTCCTCCTCCTCCTCTCCCTCCGACATCCTCGTCCTCGTCGTCCTTGGAGCGACGTGGGGGCGACATATTCGGAGGTCGATAGACCTCCTACCCTGACACGTCGATCAGCGAATTTGCCGTTTTCGGTGCGCGAGAGGGTCGCGCGGCCGTCATTTTTGCGGGTCCAGGTCCGTCGGTTTCGGTCCTGGGCCGTTTTCACTAAAGGGTGGTTTGCTAAAGGGAGGTTTGTCCACCGCCGATGAATAGGGGGTGCGGCGAGGGCTGCAGAAAAGGGGCCCTGTAGGACCCCTACATGGGCCCTGTATTGCCCAAGAGGGGGCCTTCAAGGCCCGGGGTGCTCAAATTTATCGCCCCCCCATGAAGCGACGCCCAAGTCCTCCACCCCTCCGTGCGGCACCCCTCTTGGTGACGCCTACTCGGCCGGCCTTGATGGGTATTTTTCCCTTGGGGAGCAGCATATTCCTCTTGCTCCCGTGCCCCCGGGACGGGCTTCCTTTCGTCCCTGGTCTTGGTCGCCTGCGTCCCCAAAGAGAAGGGCCCAGTGTACTCTTCCTCCGCCCTCTCGTCTGCTCCTTCTTTGTTGCCTTTCGAGGGCCCCTCGTCGCCACAGCCGTGCGCGGCTCCGAAAAAGGGTCAGGATGTGTCCCCGCGGGGGTTCTGGGCACCGATTTTGGGAGGCTCCTTGACATCCGAGCGTCAGGGCAAAACACCCTTACATCCAGGCGTCGTTGGAAAAGCAAAGTGGGCCCTTCCGCTCTGTTCTGGGGCCTGGCCCTCTCAAGGCTCAGATCTTGGCTGATATGTCGTATCTTGTGTCGGGCGAGTATTTCGGGCCGTGGCCATTGGGGGTGCTTGGAATGTAAGGTCTCTCGCGGGGTTGAGCATGAGGTGTCTCTCACGGGGGTGAGCAGGAGGAGGAGGAGGAGGAGGAGGAGGAGGAGGAGGAGGGCGAGGAGGAGGAGGAGTACGATAATTTTGAAGGTGTGGATAACGGTTACAGGGGCGGCGGTGGAGGAGGCGAAGGGGGCGGAGGATGACGAGAGCATAATGTTGATGGTGACGATGATGAGGACGACGATGCCGACGATGATAATGATGATGAGTATGATGACGTTGATGATGATTATGATGATGGTGATGATGATGCGGATGATGGTACTGCTGATGATGCTGATGATGAGGACGATGGGAATGCTGATGATGGTGCTGTTGTTAATGATGATATTGATGACGCTGCTGTTGATGATTATGTTGGTGATGGTGAGAGTGGTGGTAATAATGATGATGATACTGATAACGACGATGATGATGATGATGGCGATGCCGATGATGATACTGATGATGATGCTGATGGTGATGATATTGCAGATGACGACGATGATGCTGATGGTGGTGGTGTTGATGATGATGATGATGGTGATGATGATGGGGATGTGGAGGTGACGGTAATCATTATGATGAGGATGATGATGATGATGGTGATGATGATGCTGCTGATGATGCTGCTGCTGATGATGAGGCTGCTGAGGGCGATGCCGATGATAGTGATCATAGTCGTGATCATGACGACGAGGAAAAAGGTGATGGCGAGGACAATCATTTGATCATGATGGTAATGCTGGTGGTGGGGATGATGACGACGATAATGGTAAGGAGTAGGGGCAGGAGGGGTAGGACAATGACCAGTACTGTACGCAACAAGTCCTCCCTTCACGATTCCTCCTCACAGATCCCTGCTAGACTTTCTGCGGGAAGTGCCCCGTTGAAAGACAAACGTGTGATAATCTTCAATCGTGCCAGAAAACCAATGCTGGGACTTCAACGCCGCGATTCAACTTGAGTGTTATACGTTCCGACAACCTAAAATCACGCCAGGACGCAATTCCTGGGACTTTATAATTCTACAGTTCTTAGTCTACAGTTGTTTTCACTTGTTCTCATCTTCGAAGACGGATGCCCGCGGCGCTAGCGCCACATTTTGCACACTAGCCGTCCTTCATGTGTGGAACGGTAGCAAAGATTTCAGACGACTGTGCGCGGCGTAAAGTCTGGGGCCGCACAGTCTTTGAGGCTGTTGCAATGCGCGGTGCTACGGCGAGAGCCACATTGTGAAAACCACCCGCCTTCCATCCTTGAAGCTGTTGCAAATTTCAAGCTTCAGGATCACGAATGGTGAGCAAGGAAGTCTCAAACGAAACGCCTGGCCCCGCCTACTTCCCGGGGTTCGACATCGAGGAGTTCTTTAAAGGACCAGGGATGGAGGATGAGGAGGAGGAGCCACAGTCTGAAACCACCCGCGCTTCATCGTGCAACCGTGAGGAATTCTTTGGACGAATCTGTGCTGCGTTCAGGCGGGTGGCACATGTCGAAAAAACAAATGCCCTCGATCCCTGTACTCGCTAAAGGTTTGAAAGCGAGTGCGCGCGGCGCAAAAGCGAGATGTCTACTCTGACAACCACTGTCCTTCCGTCCTATTCGCTGTCGTGAATTTCAAAACTCTGTGTCGACAGCGGTGAGGAAGTCACAGGCGAAACGCCTGACCTGCCTTGCCTACACGCCTGATGGTGCGACGAGGAGGAAAGAATGATGAGAAATGGCAGGAGGAGGACGAGGAGGAGGAGGAGGAGGAGGAAAACGAGGGGGAGGAGGAGGAGGAGGAGGAGGAGGAGGAGGAGGAGGAGGAGGAGGAGGAGGAGGAGGAGGAGGAGGAGGAGGAGCAGCAGGACGAGCGGGACAACGAGCAGGCACAATAATGTTTCTTGAGGAGGAGGGGGAGAAAGAGGAATAGACATGCTGCCGCTTTCGAGCAAACAGCGTCTCTCTTCCTCGTTTTTGTTGTTGTTTCTCTCTCTCTCTCTCGACCTCGCTGTGAGGCCTTCTATTCTTGCCTCCCCCTCCCCCCCACCTGCCTCACCTGCTTTCGACCCCTCTCCCCCCTGGGCAACAAGCGAGTTGCCCGCAACGCGGAAAGACGTGTGGATGATGATGGTGATGATGATGACGATGATGATCATGGTGATGATGTTGCAGCTGATGAGGATGCTGATGATTCGGGCGAGGAAGATGATTATGACTATGCTGATGCTGATGATGATGATGATGATGATGATGATAACGATAGTGGTGCTGATGACGATGATGACGTTGATGATGACGATAATGATGGTGACTACGACGACGTCGATTATATGTGGATGATGATGCCGATGCGGTTGATGAAAATGATGTTGGTGATGATGATGATGACGGTGATGATGATGATGCTGATGCTGATGGTGATGATGAGGATGACGGTGATGACGATGACGATGACGATGATGCTGATGATGATGTTGGTGATGACGATGCTGATGATGGCGATGGTGATGACTGTGATGATGACGATGATGATGCTAATGCTTCTGCTGCTGATGGTGATGCTGATGGTGACTATGATGCTGACGCTGATGCTGATGCTGATGCTGTTGATGACGATGCTGATGCTAAGGACGATGCTTCTGACACTGATGCTGGTGGCGAGTATGATGATGCTGCTACTGACCATGATGACGATGTGACTGGCGACGGCGACGATTAAGCGGACGATGATGGTGCTGATATTGCAAGTACTGGAAATGATTATGTTGACGATGGCGATGCCTAGGATGATGATGGTGATGATACTGATGATGATGAGGGCGAAGATGATGATCCTGATGATGATGCTGATTAGGATGCTGATTATGCTGATGAGGAGGTCGCTTCGGCTGCTGCTGATGAGTATGATGATGTGGATGATGATGATGATGCTGATGCTGATGATGATGATGATGATGACGACGATGATGATGATGAGGGTGATGATGATGATGATGATGATGATGCTGATGATGATGATGATGATGATGATGATGATGATGAAGATGATGAGTATGATGATGCTGATCAACGGTGATGGTGATACTGATGACGAGGATGGCGATGATGCTGATGCTGACGATGTTTGTGATGCGTATGATGATGCTGACGGTGATGTTGATAATGATACTGGTGATGCTACTGAGGCTGGTGCTGCTGATGATGCTGATGGTGATGATGATGCTGTTGCCGCTGCTGATGATGCTGATGACGCTGCTGATGGTGACGATGCTGATGACGATGATGATGCTGATGATGATGCTGATGGTGGTGATGCTGTTGATGATGCTGCTGCTGATGATGCTGCTGACGATGCTGCTGGTGATGGTGATGATGTTGATGCTGATGATGCTCATGGTGATGACGATGTTGGTTGTGCTGTTGCTGCTGATGAGGGTGCTGTCGATGCTGATGCTGACGATGATTGATGATGGTGATGATGGTGATGATGATGCTGCTGCTGATGATGGTGGTGATGACTATGGTGCTGATAGTGCTGATGATGCTGATGACGATGGTGATGACTATGATGCTCATGATGCTGATGCTGCTGCTGATGATGATGCTGGCCATGCTGATGACGACCGTGCTGCTGATGGGGCTGCTGATGATCATGATGATGCTGTTGATGATGATGATGATGATGATGATGATGATGATGATGATGATGATGATGATGATGATGATGATGATGATGATGATGCTGATGATGATAAGGATGATGATGAGGAGGAGGATGATCATGATGGTGATCCGAATGATGATTACGATGGTGCAAGGTCCACACGAGGAGCAGGATGGGGGCTGGGGGGTCAGGTGATTTTCAAGCGGCTCTAGGATAGTTTCGTGACTGGCGCGGCATGCTCGCATGTTAGGGGCTCTACCGGGACAGCGGGACGAGCAGGAGGAGAAATATTTGGGGAAGGAGGAGAAGCCGGAGGAAGAGGAGGAGGAGGTGGAGGAGGACGAGAGGGAAGAGGAGGAAGAAGAGGAGGAGGAGAAAGAGCAGGAGAAGGCGGAGTAGGAGGAGGACGACTAGGAGGAGGGAGGATGCGGAGGAGAAGCGATTAGGGAGGAAGAGAAACAGAAGGCGGAGAAGGAGAAGGAAGAGGAGGAGGAGGAGGAGGAGGAGGAGGAGGAGGAGGAGGAGGAGGAGGAGGAGGAGGAGTGGGACAAAGGATTTACAAGCGAGACTTCAGCTGCAAGGCTTGATCACTTTGAGCCAGGTGAGGCCATGTTCTCGTCTGGTGGCGACCCTGGGCAGGAGCAACGAGAGAATGGTGTTCGTGCGCGGTACCAGCCCCATCGCCACACGCTCGGCCTCGGGACTTTGTTCTGGTGCGCAGCGCAGCCAGACGGCAACCCAGTGGACCCTGAGAGCAAGGGCACATCCTGGGTAGCCTTTTCTAGCGAAGCATCCTGATGAATGGCCACATGCGACGCCAATTACAGTACGCATGCGGCGGCGGGCGACTGACTACGATCATTCGGTGTGGGATGGTGGCTGCCAGTCAAGAGGTCATGGTTCCAATTTTGACGGACGCCCTGTCAAGTTGGCGATGCCTACCCTGCAGCACGCCTTTCCACTTGCATTTCTGGCGGACATCCATCGCAAGAAGGCCAACCTTCTGATACATCTTGGACTTGAGCGGCGAGCCAGTCGAGACAAAGGCACAGCATTGAACACGCATGAACAAGTTCGAATGGACGGAACACCTGGACGCCACAAGCGAGTTGTGATGTTCGGCTGTTCATTCTAGGTCGAGGCCAGTCACCACACCACTGCAAATGCGTGGTGGCAGCCTCGTACCTTGATCATGGCGGCGACAAGGAGGACACCAAATTTCGCACCTCGAAAGTTTGGCCTCCCCGTCCGCTTGTGGAGCACTTCCCTAGACATACCCGGGTCCTGCAAAGCGACATGCGCTCTAAACTGTTCTAGGCCATCTTAAGAAAGTGCGAGCAATCTCATGACTAGCTTGCACCCTGTGACTGGACCATCTTGCGTCGAATTGTGCATATTAATCACACTGGCACAGCCCAGGAATCTAGTACACGGACCAATAACGACACATGACCAAACCCGCGAATACCGAAACTTCAACAACTTGGAGGGGGCAGGAAAAGGGAGAAGCAGCAGGAGGAAGAGGAAGAAGAGGAGGAGGAGGAGGAGGATGATGATGAGGAGGAGGAGGAGGTGGATGTGCCGTGGATGTGCCCTGCCCGCGAGCCTGGGGGGGGGGAAGTGTGGGCGCACCCATCCAGCTATCGGCTAGGGGGGGCGCTGAGGCAATGCTCTCTTTTTGGAGCACTATGCGGACCTCCGTCCCTCCGGGGCCCTCTCGAGGCCATCGTAGAGGCCTGTGAGATGATGTGCCTGACATGATGCATTCAGAATTGGCTTCCCAGACATGGAAGCCGCCCAAGTCAGACTTGGAGATCGTTGCGATAGGAGGATCACACCGCATCGCCGATACATCACAGCAATGCATCGGCGACGTCGGGATGGAACATGTCAAGCTTGGAAACGCGCCGCATCGCCGATGCATCGGCGTTGCGGCGTGATTCTTCGACCCCGTCTACTTCGGCCCAATTCGGGCGGTCTGCCAAAAGGGTTTCGTCTTCGAGGCGTCGAGACGTCGCCACCTAGCCCTCGTCGGCGCAGGCCAGCGGAAACTGGCGGAAGTAGAGCCTTGGCGGCTCCGCCAGAAGAAGTTCGGAGGAGGCCAGCAGAAGTCAAGGCTCGCTCTCCGAGAGAGAGAAAGAGAGAGAGGTTCGCGCTGGTGCGCCCCGAGTTGACTGAGTCGGCTGCAGGAGCGCTGGTGAATTTCAAGGCGAGCTACATCTCCTTCGGGATGCGGGGATGGGCGTTTATCTGGGCCCCATCACAGATGTGGTCAGAGCAGATGGGATCGGAGGATCGTGCCGCATCGCCGATGCATCCCCGATGCGGCTTGATGTGGAGCCCGATTTTCTCGATGCCGACGGTGCCGTTGCATCGCCGACGTCGCCGATGCATCGGCGATGCGGCGCGATCCTCCGACCCCATCTGCTCGGACCCAGTGTTTTGCGAGGCCTGCAGTTGACTGGGGTGCGCGCCAGTTTCGGCCAGGCCTGCGTCTCAGACTGGGCCGCAGTGCATCGCGGTGTTCTTCGCCCCGGCCCCTCAGATCACCGCTAGCGTTGAGAGAACTCCTTCCCGCGCGCACGTGAGTGATGTGGTATGCCGCTTTCAGGCCGCCACGGAAAGGCGGCGGTAAGAGGAGCGTGATTGGTGGAGGGGAGGGGAGGTCCGGATCAGGAACATGTGTGGGTATCGCACGAGAGGTCAGGATACAGTCGAGCGGCCTTGCCCGCCGCTGGATTCGAGGCAGATGCGGATCACATGCGAGCTCAGGAGTAATTCTTGGGATGCGTGCCTGCGACCATTTTCACATTACGCACCTCTTTGTACTCTGGAGCCTCTCCGTCGCGCTGATGTCGTGACTGCTCGGCAGGCCATCATGCCTTACACACCGCAGATCATCGAATTGGTCAACATGGCGCTTCCATCTCAGGCAACGCGGCCCACGCAGGATGATGACGACCTTGGTGACAGTGGTAGCCAGGATTGCAGTATCGAAGACGCCGTCGGCGAGTCACCACCGACCCCTGTCTTTTGGAAACGCCTATGTCGTGACACGTCGAGAGGAAGTGTGGTCACGCTCTGGTGAAGGGCTCAAAATTGCAGATTGCGCTCTCCCCCTCTTTGGAGCCTCTTGGGAGTTCGATTATTGCAGTGGCGCAGGAAGCCGAAATGTCTGCAGTTTTTTGCTGACGATACCTATGCTCTTGTTGTTAAAGAGAAGGGGGGAGTGTGAGGACAGGAAGCTGATAGTGAGAAGAGAAGGGGGAGGAGGAGGAGGTGGAGGAGGATGAGGAGGAAGGTGAGGAGGAGTAGGAGGAAGAGGAGGAGGAGGAGGAGGAGGAGGAGGAGGAGGAGGAGGAGGAGAATTAGGAGGACCAGTGCAAACCCAATACTCGTCAACGATACTGTAGTACATCCGCCCTCCAGGTTCCCCCTTTATCATACTCCTGTAAGGATCGATTTTTGACTGCGGGCAGGACCCCGTTGGAAGACACTCGCCCGAACATCGTCAAGCGTGCTTAAGCACCATTCTTGGGAGGCAACCGCCGCGAAACAAGGTTACTGTGGCGACATGTCCACCCCACACCGTGCCAGACCACGGTTTTTGGGAGTCCAAATCAGCGAATCAACGTGACGGTCACGCCCTGGCAACCCGAAATCGCGCCAACACACTATTGCTGGGGCGTCAACTGTAGGGCCGCTCGAAACTGCTGTCAACTTTGAACTGCAAAGGTCAAGCTCCAGGATCAGAGCTGGAGAGGAAGTCTCAGGCGAATCCCCCCGCCCAGCGTACCGACCTGTCTTGGGGTGCGAGGGAGACGAGGGGGAGGAGGCGGAAGAGGAGGAGGAGGAGGAAGAGGAGGAGGAAGAAGAATGGGAGGTGGAGGAGGGGGGAGGAGGAGGAGGAGGAGGAGGAGGAGGAAGAGGAGGAGGAGGAGAAGGAGGCGGAGGAGGACGAGGACGAGGATGAGGATGAGGATGAGGATGAGGATGATGATGATGCTGATGATGATGACGATGCTGATTATGATGATGCTGAGGATGATGATGTTGATGATACTGATGCATGTCATGCTGATCATCATGACGAGCTGATGATGATGATGATGAGGAGGAGGAGGAGGAGGAGGAGGAGGAGGAGGGGGAGGATGAGAAGGGGAGGTGGAGGAGGGGGGGAGGAGGAGGAGGAGGTGGAGGAGGAGGGGGAGGAGGAGGAGAAGGAGGAGGAGGAGGAGGACCAGTGTAAGCCCAGGGGTCATCAACGATGTTGGAGTAAACCCTCCCTCCGAGCTCTCTCTTTACAGGCCCCTACACCGGTTCAGTTCCACTGAGGGAAGCGCCTTTTTTGTAAGACAACTGTTTGAAGACCCTGAAGCATGCCAACACATTGTTCTCGGGACTCCAACGCCACGGATCAACCTGACTACTGCGTCTTGACGATCTCGAATCGTGCCAGGGCGCCAGTCCTGGGACTTCACCTCCGCGAATCAATGTAACTGTTGCGCCCTCATAAGCTTGAATGCTTCCAAAACGCATGTCTGATACGTTGGCCATGGGAACCCAGGAAACTCGTGCAAGTATACAAAGGAACGTGCGCGGTGCTGTGGCGAGATCTTCATGTTGAAAAATGGACCGCCCTCAACCTGGTAAGCTCTTGTAGCTGTTTAAAACGCATGTGCGTGGCGCTAAGACGCGATCCGCATTTTGAAAACCACCCGCCCTCAATCTGTGAAGCTCTTTCAATTTAAAGACCAATGCGCGCTGCGCTATGACACGAGCCACATTTTGAGCACCACCCGCCCTCATTCCGTGAAGCTCTTTCAACATTTTTTTCCCAACCCTCCTATGGTTGGGTACTCGTTTCGAATAGAGCATTGTGGTCGCCCCGTCCTCCTCAACCTCCTCCCCCCTCCTCCCCTCCTCCTCTCCCGTTTCCTGTGTTCCCCTCTCCTCTTCTCTCGTGCCGTCGGGCTGCGATCTGCGCAACTGTCGCCACTTTCGTGGGCTCCTGGGAGGCCCAGCGGAAGTACGTCCCACGCGGATCACCTCGAGACCTCGCGGCGCCCTGGGGGGCTGCGATTTGCGCAACTGTTGCCACTTTCGTGGGCTCCTGGGAGGCCCAGCGGAAGTACGTCCCACGCGGATCACCTCGAGACCTCGCGGAGCCCTTGGGGGCTGCGATCTGCGCAATTGTCGCCACTTGCGTGGGCTCCTGGGAGGCCCAGCGGAAGTCGCCACTTTCGTGGGCTCTTGGGAGGCCCAGCGGAAGTACGTCCCACGCGGATCACCTCGAGACCTCGCGGCGCCCTGGGGGGCTGCGATCTGCGAAATTGTCGCCACTTTCGCGGGCTCCTGGGAGGCCCAGCGGAAGTACGTCCCACGCGGATCACCTCAAGACCTCGCGGCGCCCTTGGGGGCTGCGATCTGCGCAATTGTCGCCACTTTCGTGGGCTCCTGGGAGGCCCAGCAGAAGTACGTCCCACGCGGACCACCTCGAGACCTCGCGGCGCCCTGGGGGGCTGCGATATGCGCAACAGTCGCCACTTTCGTGGGGTGGGCTCCTGGGAGGCCCAGAGGGTACGTCCCACCTGATCACCTCGAGAGACCTCGTGGCGCCCTTGGGGGGCTGCGATCTGCGCAACGTTGCTACTTTTCGCGGGCTCCTGGGAGCCCAGCGGAGGCACGTCCCACGCGGACCACCTCGAGACCTCGCGGCGCCCTGGGGGGCTGCGATCTGCGCAACCGTCGCCACTTTCGTGGGCTCCTGGGAGACCCAGCGGAGGTACGTCCCACGCGGACCATCTCGAGAACTCGCGGCGCCTCGGGGGGCTGCCATCTGCGCAATTGTCGCCACTTTCGTGGGCTCCTGGGAGGCCCAGCAGAAGTACGTCCCACGCGGACCACCTCGAGACCTCGCGGCGCCCTGGGGGGCTGCGATATGCGCAACTGTCGCCACTTTCGTGGGCTCTTGGGAGACCCAGCGAAGGTACGTCCCACGCGGACCACCTCGAGGCCTCGCGGCGCCCTTGGGGGCTGCGATCTGCGCAACTGTCGCCAATTTTCGTGGGCTCCTGAGAGGCCCAGCGGAAGTACGTCCCACGCGGACCACCTCGAGACCTCGCGGCGCCCTGGGGGGGCTGCGATCTGCGCAACTGTCGCCAATTTTCGCGGGCTCCTGGGAGGCCCAGCGGAAGTACGTCCCACGCGGGCCACCTCGAGACCTCGCGGTGCCCTGGGGGGCTGCGATCTGCGCAATTGTCGCCATTTTCGTGGGCTAGTGGGAGGCCCAGCGGAAGTACGTCTTACGCGTTGCCGCTGCTCTTCTTGCTGTGCTCTTCTGATTTCACTGCTGGGTGCTCTTCTTCCGCACTGCGGATTTTTCAGCATGCCCGTCAGCATTGAGTGGTCCTGAGTGTAATCACCACATGTATAGAATGGGTTGGGTATGTCACGGGTAATTCAAAGGATGTGCGCTGCGCTACGGCGGGAGCCACATTTTGAAACCAGCAGCCCTCCATTTGTGAAGCTGTTATCAGTATTGAAGCTTCAGGGTCATAAATGGTGAGGAAGTCTCAGGCGAAACGCCCAGCCCGCCCTTTCGACTGGCCTCGGGGTGCGACACGGAGAAGTTATTTAATAGAGGAGGAGAAGGAGAAGGGGAATGAGGAGGCGGAGGAGAATAAGGAGGAGTAGGAGAAAGAGGAGGAGGAGGAGGAGGAGGAGGAGGAGGAGGAGGAGGAGGAGGAGGAGGAGGAAGAGGAGGAAAAGGAGGAGGAGGAATTGGAGGAGGAAAAGGATGAGGAGGAGGTGGAGGAGGAGGAGGGGAAGGAGGAGGAGGAAGGGAAGGTGGTGGAGGGGGAGGAGGACCAGAGTCTGAGAGCCGGGGTGACGCCGCAGAGGAGCACGACACGGACGCCGCTCACCTCGAAGAACTTGAAAAACAGGGGCTCGACGACCAGCGCCACGGGCACCACGGGGGGCGCTGGCACCGTCCGGTGTCAAGAGGCCGACGAGGAGCGCGACGACCCCGACGGCGAGCCCCAAGAGCACCACGAAGATGAAGGGCGCCGAATCGGGGCTGCTGCGGCCCCGCCTGCCTGGGCACCAGGCGCCACATCAGCAGGCCAGGCCAGCGGTCAGTCAGGGCCGCCAGGAACACGACCACGTTGGTGGGAAGCTCCGCGCGAGCTGCTCACGATAATCGCGGGCCACGCGAAGGCCCTCCGTCGCCGCGCGCAGCGACTGCGCCCTGCCACGCGAAGCTCCTGCTCAGGGCGGTCCACCAGCGCGTTGGCGTGCTCGATGACTGTCGCGACGGCGGCGCCGACACCTTCGGGGTAGGCGTGGAGAGGCGGAAGAGCATGGGCAGCCGCCGCCGCCGCCGCACGTTCCGCCTCCGCCTCCTGGAAGGCCACGTCGACGATCGCGTCGTCGCCTGTCACTCGAGCGCTCCCGCTTGCCCCGCCTCCGTCGGCGGCCAGCCCGCGGCGCCGCGCCCGCCCCTCCCGCGCCATGGGCAGCCCCATGGGCAGCCATTATTCTCGGGGGCCCTGCGAGGGCCAGCAGTCGGTGGCGTCGCCTCAGCAGGCGGTTGGGCACCGCGCACTCTGTGCTCCTCCACCTCCGAGGCGCTCTGCAACGAGTTGCTAGCCCCAGCGCTCGGGAGGTCGGCGGCGGTTTACTCGGGCGATGGTGCTGGGCCGGCACGACCAGCACGACCCTCTTCTTCACCACGAGCGTCATCACCTGAAGCAGCCAGCGCCTGGCTAAGCGCGCGGTCGAGCCGAGACAGCTCCTGGCCGCGGTGCCGCATGATCTGTTCGAACGCGCAGAGGATGTGCAGCACGGTGCGCCCCTCCGCGCACGCGTGCTGCGCTCCACGCTCGGCCGCTGACTGGTTCGGCCTCCTGTGGCGACGCCGAGGCGCCCGATCGTTCCCGCCGCCGGGAGGGAGCCGCGGGCGAGCGCTGGGCAGCGCGGACATGCGCCAAATGTGCGGGCTCGGGCTGCAAATTTGGTCAACTTGGGCCGATCTGGCACTAGGGGGAAGAGGAAGCGGAAGAGGAGGATAAGGAGGAGGAGGAGGCGGAGGAGGAGGCGGAGGAGGAGGAGGAGGAGGAGAAGAATGGAGGGAGAGGAGAGGAGGAGGGAGGAGGAGGAGGAGGAGGAGGAGGACGAGGAGGAGGAGGAGGACGAGGAGGAGGAGGAGGAGGAGGAGGAGGAGGAGGAGGAGGAGGAGGAGGAGGAGGAGGACCCCCCGCCGAAACGCTGGGCCACGGCCGGCCTGATGACTGGACGGGGCCGTCCTGTCTACGGACTCCGACGCGATGCGCCGCGCCCGTGCTTCTCGGTTGGCAGGCTTGCGGGCCGCCGATTCCAACCCCGCCGATTCCGTCAACGCGACCTGACACGCGTGGGCCAGCTGGACCGTGCCAGCCGCGCCCTTCCCGGCCGCCGGCCTCAGGGCCCTCCCGGCCCTCGTGCTTCCTACTCCTCCCAGCTCGGCCTTCTCACCCGCTCCATCCCCCCTGCGGTTCACGCCGCCGCTCCTCCCTTCGCGCCCGAAGGGCCCCGCGCGCGCCGCCCTCGCGTGTGCCCCACCGCGGCGAGGGGGGCTCCTCCTCGGATTCCGCCCGTTCTGTTTTGACGGACGTCGGTCCCTCCATGGAGCTGTCGACGCTTCACGAATCCCCACCAGCCCATCCAGAAACGATGCCCAGAGGAATTGCCTCGATCAGGGAAGCGGGCAGCACACAGAGGAAGGGTCCCCCAGTGGAGGCCTCTTGGAGCGTTCTGGGTGCCTCTTGGCGGTCCCGGACGCCTCTTAGAGCGTCTTAGGTGCCTCGGAGAGCTTCGTGGGGTTTCCTGGGGGTGGGAGCCTCTTGGAGGCCTCTTGGGCGCCTGTTGGAACCTCCTGGGGCCTCCTGGACGCCTCTTGGGGCCCTCTTGAAGCGCTCCTGGGAGCCTTGGGAGCGCCCTTGGAGCCCTCTTGGGTCATCTTGGAGCCATCTTGAGGCCTCGTCGAGAAAGCCAAAAACATGGATTTCCCACGGGTTTTGGAAGGATTTTGGCCTCTTCGGGGCCTCCTGGGGGAGCTCTTTGGCCACGTGGAGCCGTCTTGGAGCGGTCTTGGGGCCTCTTGGAGCATCGTGGGCGCCATCTTGAGGCATCTTGGGACATCTTGAGCCATCTTGGAGGTCATCTTTGGCTCTCCCAGGCGCTCTTGGAGTCATCTGAAGCAGTGCCCCCCCCAGGAGACCAACATGCGGCAAAAACCTTAGTACAATCAGCGATGTTAGCATTGTCGCCGAGGCCTCTTGGAGCGTCTTGGGTGCCTCTGGGGGGCCTCTTGGGGCCTCTTGGAGGTCTCTTGGAGGTCTCTTGGGAGCCTCTTGGGGGCATACTGGGGGCCTCCTGGGTGCCTCTTGGGGCTTCCTGGCCACCTCTTGGGGCACCCTTGGGAGCCTTGGGAGCGCTCTTGCGGCTATCTCGGAGGAGATCGATCAAAGAAGGGGGGGTTACGGATTAGAGCCCCCCCCCTCAGATGGCCAAAATTGGGCCAAAGCCCAAGTAAAATCAATGATTTTGGCTTCCTCGCCGAGGCCTTTTTGGACGCCCTGACGACTCGCGACCCCCCCCTCCAGGTCCATGGGGAAGGGGTTGGGGGGAGGGGTAAACCCCTCCCCGAAGGGGAAGGAGGGCTAGTGGGAGTCCTTGGTATTCCTCCCCTCGCGCCTGGGTCCGCCCCTGTCCCATCTGGCGCGGCCCCCGCCGCGGCCCCTCTCACACCCGAGCGTTTTCCTGGGGGTGGAGGGCCAAGGGTGCAGCATCGGAGATGCCGCTCCGATGGGTTCTCGAGGCTTGCGCCTGCAGAAGGTGAACCGCAGGACGGATGGACCCTCGAGTCGGCGTCACCCCAACATACTTATACTATATGTGCGTCGCCCCCCCCAGGGGCGGCGCGCGCACCGTGAAATCTTATAGTATATGCGTCGTGGCGTGCGCTTTCTGGCCACACCGCTCGGGAAACGATATACTACAAGACGGGTATACTATATGTTCGGGTCGGACGCTCGCCTCCAAGGAGGACATATAGTACTAGTATGTCTCTGTGCATCCCATCTCGAGGTGCAGAAGCTCATCTGGAGCTCACCCCGGGCCCGCCCCCCCAGGAGACTCCTCGGCAGGCGGCCCGCGTCCCGCGAGCGGTGCCCCGGCCGCGGGCGGCGGCCGAGGCCCGAGCGGCAGCAGACCCCTGGAGGGCTCGGCGTGCCTGCCTCCTGGTGGCCCCGGGGCGGCGGCTCCCCGCGCCGTGGGGACCCATGCCAAGAGCGGGTTTCTTGACTGCTTGTGGCATCATGGGCCTTCTGGCCCCCCCCCCCCCCCACCCTCCCTCCCTCCCCCCTTCCCCCCCCCCTGCTTGCCTCCAGGGTGCCCTGGGTTTCTTGGGCTTCGACGGTTTTGCCATGGAAGTCGTGCCGCTCCCACACCGAAGGTCCACGGACGTCCTGGGGCCTCAGGGTTTGGTTTCCTGTGGAGGGGGCTCTTGTGGTCAGGCCCCCACGGTATGGCACTGTGGCTCCACGCATCGTGCCCGTCAGGCGGGGCGTTCGCGTGCGAGGCCGCCCTGTCCTCAAAGCCAATCGTGCCCCGTTGGCTATGTCCCTCATGGCGACGTCTCGCTTCGTCCTCGTGCGGAGCGTCCCGCGGTGGGCAGCGCTCTCTCTGATGGCAACGGCCTGTGCTGCTGTGGCTGCTAGCGCGGTGATTTCAAAACGATTTCGCTTGGGGGCCCAGTCCAGCACGCCCGCCAGCTTGCTTGGACTTACTCCGCTTCGTCGCCGCGCGCGTGGCCGCTATCGCTCAAAGTGTGTGTGTGTGTGTGTGTATGTGTGTGTGTGTATGTGCGCCGTTTCTTGCACCCGCACGGGTGAGTCGTTCTGCCGCTCTCTAAATTAGCTGGCCCCACCAACGCGTTGGATGCAATGCCCTGCGCGCGCGACTCAGGGTTTCCCTCGTCTTGCGCCGCTCTATAAACACGCCAGCTTCACCTGCAACGCTTGGTGCAGTTAGTCTGTACGCTCCCTTGCATATTCTGCCGCGACTGTGGTGCCACATCGCCATCGAAAGAAACGCGCGCGCGCGCGTGTGTGTGTGTGTGTGTGTGTGTGTGTTTGTGTGTGTGTGTGTGTGTGCGTGTGCGTGTGCGTGTGCGTGTGCGTGTGCGTGTGTGTGCGTGTGCGTGTGCGTGTGCGTGTGCGTGTGCGTGTGCGTGTGCGTGTGCGTGTGCGTGTGCGTGTGCGTGTGCGTGTGCGTGTGCGTGTGCGTGTGCGTGTGCGTGTGCGTGTGCGTGCGTGCGTCTGTTGACATGGATACGCAAACAGTTCACATGCACTCATGTATACATGGGTACACACATATAAACATGTGTAACGATGTATGTGTACTGCGTGTGTACTCGTATATGTATGTGTGGAGGTGCGCGTATGTGTGCACAGCTCTACGTCTACATCGTTTTCATGTTGACGGAGGGGGGCCATAATAAAGATAACAGGGAAGAGGGAAACCAGGACGAGGGATTCCTGCGCAGGCGAAATGGCGCAAGCAGGGGGCAGACAACACCAACGAGGCGTTGCGGTGCGTCTCCAAGCTTGCCAAGGAAAGTGGTTTATGCAAACACGCCGAAACTTCCCTCCGCCCCTCGTCCCTTGTCCCACGTCCTTTGTTGCTCGGCGCTGGTCCCTCGTCCCTCCTCCTTCCTCCTCCCCACCTCCTGTCCCCTGCCCCCTGCCCCGCTCCTTCCCCAAGCCTGCCAAGGCCGTGGGGCCCAGCCTCGCGCCGCAGATAGAGACGCTCGTCGACCAGATGTTCGAGGCCGGCCTGTCGCAGCCCTTGCTCGACGTGCTCGGGGACCTGGCGCGCTCGACGCCGTCACTGCTGCCGGCGGTGCAGACGAAGCTGCTCAGCTGCATCGCCTCCGTGCTGACCGTGCCGCAGAGGGCCGACGCGGCGCCTGGGGACGAGGCCGCCGAGGCGCTGGCCCTCGCCGCGCTCGGATGCTTCGGCGCCGGGGACCCGCGCGCCCGGGACGTGGTCAGCACGGCCGTGGTCCAGTGCCCTCCGGGCCCCGAGGTCTGGGCGTTGCGTTTTTCTCACGCCGGGCGTGTTCGCCTGGTGTCGGGCCCCAGGGCCATCACGGATCGATCGGGCTCGGGGTTTTGGGGCTCCAGTTGTGGGGTCGGGGTTTTGGGGCTGGGGTTTCGAAGCTGGGGTTTTGGGGCTCGAACGTCACCTCTGATGGGGAGCCTCCGGAGAGGTCCCGAAAGCGGAGTCCGTCTGGAGGCTTCGGGAACCCCCAAAGACGGCCGAGACGCGTCACGAAACCTCGATCCCCCCCCCCCTCGCAAAACCCTCCCCCCCCCCTGCCCCCTTCGAGGCGAAGCGCAGCTCTCCCGCATCGCCGCCAATCGCTCCGTCGCCCGACAGCGCAGGGCGGCCCGCTAAGAGGCGGCGAGGCAGGGGAGAGCGCCATGGAGGGGCACCTCCCTGTCCTTCACTTGGCAAGGAGCCAGCGTCCCTCCGGCAGCCTTTTCTCCCCAAGTACAGGATGGGAGTAGGAGACCATCAGTTGCCAAGGAATTAGCGTCCCGCTCATACCCAGAGATCCGATGTCGTGTTTTTTTTCCATGCGGGTTCCCCGGAAGTCTCGACCCATTCCCCTGGGCCGGTTTTTCATCCAGAGTCGTTTTTTGATGGTCCTGGGGCCCGGAGAGGGCCCCTGGAGGCCGAAAGCTGCGAAAAACCTCCGCCTTGATTTTTTCGATGAGTTCGACCTCTGGGTAACTGTGTCCCTCCCCCCCCCCGAGGTACTTCGACCACCCCACCGCTGCGATCCGCCGCGAGGCGGCCCTCACCGTCACCCGGCTGCTGCTACCCTCCCGGGAGCATGCCGCCGCCGGGGCGCCGGGGGGCGCGCCGCAGTGGGCCGGTGCCGAGCACGGAGGATGGCAGAGAGACCGAATGGCGGAGGCGCGCGAACCAGCTGGCCGTCCCCCCCCCCCTCCCCCCCCGTTCCATGGTTCGAGTACAACCGTAACGAGGGTTATTCCAACATGGACGCGTGGCGCGCCCAGATGAAACTTCGCTGGCCCGTGCAGCGACCGAGGAGCTCCCCTCAAGCCTCGAGTCTGGGCCGGTGGGCGCGGGGCCCGCGGAGCTCAAGGGCAACGATGGGGGGGGGCCCAGGCCCCCCTCGCGCTGTGCAGAAATCGCGACGGGAGGTTTTTGGCAGTTTTCGACGTCCGGGGGCCCTTATACCGGCCAGGACAGGATGAAGAACCGGTCCTGGGGAAGGGGTCCAGACCTCTGGGGGTCGCGTCATGAACAACTCATGACGTCGGGGGTATGGGATCGCCCAAGGATCGCCGATAGGGGCTTGATAGCCACACCCCGCCCAGGAACGTGCGGATTCGCTGTCGGGGGCCCATCGCCGATCTATCCGCGAAGTATCTCCGAGTCCAGGTCGATGTCCCCCCCCCCGTGAGCCATTCCCCTGGTGGTTTCTGGCCATAGTTAACTCGGCTCTCGGGCAGCCCCAAAACGCGCTCAGCGAGGAGCAGCCGTTGGAAGGCATCCCGAGGCTGGGAAACTGCCGAGAACCAGCGGAAGCGCCCGAAAATTATGAATCTCGACCCTCGAAGCTTCGAACCTCCCACGCGCGCCCCCCAAAGCCACTCCCCCCCTCATCGTTGCCGCTCAGGAGGCCTGGGTCACGACGGCGCCCCCGCCGCCCAGCGCGCGTCCCGAGCGCACGGCTTCTCGCAGCGCGTGGTGCTGTGCCGCACGCACCAGCTGACCGCCGTGGCGGGCCTGCTGCGCCACACGCTCATGTTCCCCTGGCGCGCGGCGTCGAGACGGAGACCCAGCCCCCCTAAAGCGTCGGGAGACGCTCCAGGCGGAGGCGTTTCGCCGTTGTCGGACTCTGTGGGCCCTCGCTGGGCGTTAAGATCGCAGGCCTAGAGAGTGACACCAACACCAATATCGGCGGTGTTCATCCACCGAGGGAAGAAGATCCCGATCTCGGTGATGGTGGTAATATTCTGGCTTCCATGGTGGCCGAACTATTACCACCATCACCGAAATCTAGGATCATCTTCCCCCTGTGGAGGCAACCCCCTGTGTTGGTGTTGGTGTTGGTACCCATTTCCAGGCCTCCAGTAAGAGGCGACTCGGGCTGCAGAGTTGGCCCTGGGGACGGGGCCCAGGCCTCCAGCCCAGAGATCCAATGTCTCGTTTTTGTCGATACGGTTAAGTCGGGCGTGCCCCCTACAATGGGATTTTCGACGACAAATAAAAGATACTCAAAACATAGTTCGAAATGGTTTAAACATATTCAAAAAATAGTCCCCAGACTATCTTTTGACTATTTTTGAACTTTTCTCCTGTGGAGGGACGGGCTCGACTTAACCATGCGGGGTTCCTGGAGGTCCCGACCCCTTCTCTGGGACCGGTCTTTCATCCTGAGTCGCTTTGTGACAGTCCCAGGACCTGGCGGGGGCCTGTAGGGGCCGAAGGGGGCGAAGAACCTCCGTCTCGATCTTTTCCATACGCTGTACCTCCGTGAGGGGCCCTGCATCGAGAAGCTCAAAACATCGTGCGTCTGGAGGGCCGGGGCGCCGTGGAGCAGACCACGGCCGGGGCTCTCGGACCCACCGGCCCGGGGCCCATGGGGCCAGCGAGGTGAGGCGGCACGGCCTGTCGCGAGCTTCTCTTACTTTTGTGTGGCGGTGTCGGGCCGCATCGATTCGAAGGGGGCCCCGGGGCCCGGAGCCCGGCGAAAAGACCCCATCGTGTTTCTCTCGTGGCACCCGGATGCGAGGCCCCTCCTCCGAGAACGTCCCGGAGCCCTCGAACCTCCCAGGGCTCCCGAGGAGCCTCCGAAAGCCCCCCAGGGCGGGGCGGCCAGGCCTATTAGGTCTTCTTCGCGGCTCCCGCTGGAGAGTTTTTTTCCGAAGGGCTTAGGCGACGCGGTCTCCTCCTCCGCCTCCTCCTCCTTCTCCTACTCCTCCCCCTACTCCCTCATCCCTCCTCCTCCTCCTCCTCCTCCTCCTCGCATCCTCCCTCCTCCTCCTCCTCCTCCTCCTTCGCCTCCTCCTCCTTCCTCAGTCCTCCTCCTCCGCCTCCCCCTCCTCATCATCCTCCTCCTACTCCCCCTCCGACCTCCCGCCTCCTCCTTCCTCTCCTACTGCTTCCATTACTCTCCTCCTCCTACTCCTCCCTACTCTTCCTCTCACCTCCTCCTCCTCCTCCTCCTCCGCCCTTGACTCCTCCTCCTCATCCGCCTCCTCATCCCCCTCCTCCTCCTCCTCCGCACCTCCTCCTCCTCCTCATCATCCTCATCATCCTCATCCTCCCCTCCTCCGCCTCCGGTCCTCATCCCCCGTCCTACGCATCCTCCTGCCTCCCACCTCCGCCTACTCCTCCTCCTCCTCCTCCTCATCCTCCTCCCCCTCCTGCATTTCCCGCTCCCGCTCCCTGCTCCTCCCCCCTTCTCCACAAAGTCCTCCTCACGCCGCCTCCGCCTCTCCGCCGAAGCCCCCCTCTCCTCCCGCCTCCTCCGATCCTCCTCCTCCTACACATCATCCCCCCAGCCATCATATACATTCCCCGCATCCTCACGACCGACCACGTAAAGCCTACAGAACCTAACGATACGCCCAAACCTGCCGATCACAGTCCTCATCCCACCCCTACAGCATCAGAGGCTGAAGCCTACCTCATCATCCTAAACTCCGACCGCCTCCTCCTAATCCTCCTCCTCATCCTCCTCCTCCTCCTCCTCCTCCTCCCCCTCCCCCTCCTCCACCTCCTCCTCCTCCTCCTCCCTCCAGGTTCGCGGCCTCGGAGCCAGACAAGGTCACGCGGGAGCGCGTGTCCAGGAAGCTCATGGCCACTCCGCCTGCCCCCCCTTCTCAGCCGCCTTTTTCCGATGGGGGGGTGAGGGTTTTCGTAGGGGCGCTCCGCGAGGGGTGGTGCTCGCGACCAGGAGGAGGAGGGATGAGGATACTGAGGAGGATGAGGATGATGGGGGGAGGAGGAGCGGGACCAGTGCAAACTCAAGGCTCATCAGCGATGTCGGAATCAGCCCTCCCTCCAAGCCCGTTGGAGACAACTGCTTGAATATCCTGCAGCGTGCCAACACACCTTTCTCGGGCCATTAACGCCACGAGGCAGCCGTCAAGCTGACCGGGGCGTCTTCACGATCAGAACACAATTCCTGGGACTGCAGCGCCGCGATGTTTGTATATCTCTATGTGTAGACAAAAGTGTGTAATCTCTATATATATATATATATATGTTTGTATGTGTATATATATATATCAGAGTGGAGGGGCCGAACGGTCATTCATTGTCCCTGGGTGCGTGGGTGCAGTGACGATTCGTGGTGAGGATTCTGCTTGTTGCGTTGTTGTTGCTGCTGCTGTTGTTGTTATTGATGTTGTTGTTGTTGCTGCTGGTGTTGTTGTTGTTGTTGTTGTTGCTGCTGGTGTTGTTGGTCATGTTGTTGTTGATGCTATTGTTGATGTAGCTGTTGTTGTCGTTGTTGCTGTTGTTGTTATTATTGTTGTTGTGGTTGTGGTTGTGGTT